TGGCCCGTTTTCCTCATGATCAATGAATTGCCCTATAAATATAGGAAACGCCCTGAAAATATGCTAATAACGGCTCTCTGGTATGGAAATAAGCCATGCTTTGCAACATTTTTTGATATATTACAAAAAGGTTTGGAAGACCTTGCTAAGGGAATTGAAATAAACCTCGATGATTGTAATATTCAAGTCAAAGGATTCCTTGTTGGACTTGCTGCTGATCTACCAGCACTGGCAGGCATGCTTAATGTCAACCAGTTAAATGGTGACTATCTGTGCATAAAATGCACCCAAAAAGGGGAAAACTATCAAACTATTGATGGGGGTAATGTCCGAATCATGCCATTCAAAGAAGAAAACATAACTGGTCCAAAGGGGACTCATCAATCCATAATAGAAGACGCAAAAAAAGGTTTTGCAAACAACAAACCTTCTCATGGTGTTAAGGGGCCAAACATTTTCTTAAATTGCCCTGAATTCGATGTTGTTGATGGAGTTATATTGGATGTGATGCATCAATGTGACTTGGGGGTGATCAAAACTCAGGGCAAACTTTGCTTTGACCCAGTGTTTAAACATGAGGAATTTTCACTTTATTGTCACTTAGAAGATATAGATAAGATGATGGAACAAATCAAGCCACCTCATACGGTCAACCGAGTCCCAAGAGGATTTAAGGAGAACATGAGCAACTTTAAAGCTGTAGAGTGGAGGATGTGGTTTATACTTTACTGTCTTCCATGTGTTCAGAACTTCATGGACACCAAGTACTTGTACCACACCACACCATTTATTGAGGGTTATCACATCCTCTTGAGAGAAAGCATAAGTGAAGGAAGCTTGACACACGCTGAAAGATGCTTTCAATATTTCTGCCTAATGTTTCCTGCCCTTTATGATGTGAGATACTCCACACTTACACATGTTATATCCATAGCCTGATGCATTTACCAGACAATGCGAGACAAATTGGTCCATTGTGGGCAACAAGTTGCTATGCATTTGAAAATGCAAATGGGGATTTACTCAGAATGATAAAGTGCAAACAACACATTGATGTACAGATGATACAGTGACAGAATATCAAGCCCTCCCATCAAAACTTCCTAGTCTAGAAAAATGCCCGGGAGCCCTCTCATTTGCGAATTCAATGCTTTATGGAGCTGGATCAAATCGGGGCAAAACAGATTAATCCTCAATTCAGAGCTGCTCTAGAAACCAGATTTGAAGAAACAGATGATCTGACATTTCACAAAAGAGCCTGTGTTCGAGGACTCACATACCATTCCATAGTCTATAGTAGAGTGTCCAGAAGGAATTTGTTCACTGTAAAACTTGGAACAATGGACTCTGGCATACAGTATGGGGACATTGATTGTTTCATAGAACTTGATGAAAACAATATTTTCTGTGTTGTGAAAGTTTTACAAAAGGAAAATCTCGAGTGGCTCACAAAAGTAGAAAATGTAATAAACATTAAATTGGACCACATTCATAGCACAAAATCCACAAATATGTACCACCTTGTACCTGCATTGAACTTGTTAGATTTGTGTGTTAAAGTTCAAGTTGCAAACAAGCATTGTAATACCACAAAACCAGTGAAAATTACATCAATTTCATTCAATTTACCATGAAGCTATGTGTCTCCTCTTTCCAATGATACATCATTGGTCCATATGTGATCATAGACAACTGAATAATCATTGTTTCTTTGCACATGGGTAAAAATGCCTATGTGTCAGCTGCCAGGTTATGCAATATTCCAAAGGCTTTCATAATAACATGCATTTTAGCCTTAGTTCTATTTTATATGAAATAAAAAGATTTCATTTATGTGTTCATCAGTATATGGTGGTTAAATGTCATTCTTAAAACGTCAGTTAAGTAACTATCCTTTTCTTTCATCTTATGAACGATAACTCATGCAATATTATTGAGACACTCTCGTCCAGCATGAATTTAAAGTCAAAATCAACACAACTGAACTTTTGTTCCGGTTTCTTTCATACTAGAGATAAATTTGAACGCACAACATGTTCACAGATATTTTGTTTAATAGCTTCCATCTGCCTTCTTATGTCTTGTTTCAACTCTTTTATGTTTCTCAAATGAGGTACAGTTGTGCCAAATATTACTTTAAACCCTTGTGGGATGACTTGAGTCTTTATGTTAGTGCTGACATATCAGTGGAGATGATAACCCCATTTAACGTGTAACACGGAGATTGCCATTTTGCGTGAATCACGCCAATAAGCATAATGTCCATTGTAATTCATAATTTGAAACACAAGGTTAATTAGAAGACTCAGTGTTTAATATAAAACCCTGCCAAAGCTTCAAGTTGGGTGGCCTCTAAAATTACAAGCTGGATGCTCTTATTGCAGGTCTGGCTGCAAATGGGGCAGCAGTAAACACACAAATTGTAGTTGGTGCTGTTACAGGGCTGATACATGTATCTCATGAAGACAAATCACTTCTGCCTGAACACGGCTCGCTATCCTTGGGGAAATCATGGGGCAAGTCTGTTTTGGGACGAATGGGATTTGTCAAACGCAAAAGAACTAAGGCTTCCAAAAGGATTCCTCAAAACTATGAGGTTAAAGTTGAATTTCTAGACAAGATACAGAATATTGTTAGCAAACATAAGATTCCTTTGAAATTCATTCTAAACATCAATGAAACAGGAGTTGATATCGTACCTGCATCTTATTGGACAATGGCAAAAAGGGCACCAAACAAGTTGAATTGTGTGGGCTTGATGATAAGCGTCAAATCACAGTGACTTTAATGATTAATGCAGAAGGAGGACTTTGTCCAGCCCAAGTGATCAACCAAGGAAAAATGGGAGCCTGCCACCCATCTTACAAGTATCCCAAAGAATAGCTCATTACCCAGTTCCGAGATGCACTTGCAGAATTCTGAAACACTCTTAGAGCTTGTCGGGAATATCGTTGTGCCCTATGTGGACAGGATCTGCCAAAGTGAAGATGAAGATCTCACTATTGCTCATTGATGTTCAAAAACGATTGAATATTTCATACTCCCCAGCACAGCGGGCAGAAATGTGCTAATATGCTGGACATCATGGAGCCACAGGTAGCGCTCGTCACTTTTCCAAAAAGCTTGACTTACAAGATGAAATTAATGAGTAAACCGTCAGGATGCCATCATTTAAAGAACTGGAAATGGACGATCAAGATTCTATTAAAACCGTGCCAAAGCTTCATGTTGGGCGGCCTCTAAAATAAGTTGACAAGATGGATGCTCTGGCACAGTCACTTATTGCAGGTCTGGCTGCAAAGTGGGCAGCAATAAACACACAAATCATAGTTGGTGCTGTTACAGGGCTGATATCTGAAGACAAATCACTTCTGCCTGAACACAGCTCCCTATCCTTGGGGAAATCATGGGGCAAGTCTGATTTGGGACGAATGTGATTTGTCAAAGGCAAGATTGAAGACACCGATAGTTGCCTTTGCTTTGATCAAAGGGATGCAAACAAGCGAACTGCAATTAGTGGTGAAGAAATTGGCTATGCACTATTTTACAGAAGATGAGCTTCGTTCGGGTTCTGTAACCAGAAAAAAGGGAAGCCGTACAGAACAAAGTCGACCCCCCTTAAATCAAAAGAATGTACTGCAAATTATAACTCTTGTAGAGAGACATTGCAATGGTATAAGTCAAAAGGTTATCAAAGAGAAGCTGTCAAATATTCAAAAATCATTGAGACTCAAATTTAAGTGTAACTGAATTGAAAAAAAGTGTGACAGAAATAAAATGATTTGAGCTCAAAAATAATTTGTTTGTTCTTATGATGTGAATCAAATGAATAATTCAAATTTCAAAGTTATTTCAGTAATATTCATGAATAGTTCAGGTATATTTATTCTTCACAGAGTAACATTTCATGAATATACAAGTGATGAATATCATGAATAAACAGTTGATGAATAATTCAAGAAATATGAGGCTAAACCTTGAGAAAATTTCAAGAATATTAAGGAATGTAATACAGAATGTTGAGTAATATTTCATGAACATACAGGTGATAAACATTTCATGAATATATACTTTACAGTTGATGAATATTTCGAGAAATATGAGGTCTATACATGGAGATGATTTTAAGAATGTTGGAGAACAGAATGTCATGAATATTTCATGAATATACAGTTGATAAATATTTCAAGAAATATGAGGTCTACACATGGAGATGATTTCAAGATTGTTGAGGAATAGAATGTCATGTATATTTCATGAATATAGAGTTGATGAATATTTCAAGATTCAAATTTGTATTTCAGTCATATTCATGAATAGTGCATGTATATTTATTTTTCATTGAGTAATATTTCATGAACATACAGGTGATAAATATTTCATGAATATGCATTTGAGGAATATTTCAAGAAAAATGAAGCTAAACTTGGAGAAGATTTCAAGAACACTGAGGAACAGAAAATCATGAATATTTCTTCTTCATTTAAGTAATAGTTCATGAACATATATGTGAGTTAATTCATGAATTATTCAAGAATGTTGGAGAATATAATGTTATGAATATTTCATGAATATCCAGTTGGTGAATATTTCAAGAAATATGAGGTCGTATACAATGAGATGATTTCAAGAATGTTGAAGAATATAATGTCATGAATATTTCAAGAAATATGAAGCTAAATCTGGAGAAGATTTCAAGAATTTTGAGGGATAGAATATCATGAATATTTCATGAATATAGAGTTGATGAATATTTCATGAGTCCAAATTGTATTTTAGTCGTATTCACGAATAGTTCAGGTATATTTATTCTTCATTGAGTAATATTTCATGAACATGCAGGTGATTAGTATTTCATGAATATACAGTTGATGAATATTTCAAGAACTATGAAGCTAAACCTGGAGAAGATTTCAAGAATATTGAGAAATAGAATATCATGAATATTTCAAGAACATAGAGCACTGGCTGCCAGCCAGCCTCACTTTGTTAGATTTAATCCAGCAGCTAATGTAACATAATATCCCTGCTTAATATTCATAGCATTACCACTTCCTGTTGTTGCCTAGCAATATAATGAGCATCAATATGCCTGGATTGCTGTCCTTTAAATGGGTATTTTGAATGCTTAAAACTAACCTTAAAACCAAATAAGAGCAACTTTCTCTTGTACAAACTATTTCGAAAGGGCTTGGTTGATTCTTTAATCTTGAGACATTAAGTAGATAATGATTCACTTGGGATTATTTAACATCTGAACTTTTCTACCCATTTCCTTGAGTTTGGATCATCTTAATGTCCATTAACTTTAAACTGAAATAGGAGAAATTCTCCTGGTGGAAAGTAAGCACTTCCATTCTCCTCAAGTTCAATGTGTCTTCTGCAAGGTTCAAAAGATTTGATGCACTTTCCGCCAGGAGAATTTGAGAAAATTCAAATTGAATATACCCCATCCAACATTAATATTGGCTTGTAATAATTCTAAGCTGAATCAACTATACACATGGTAGCAAATAGTAAGACAAGATGGAGCATTTAGAAATGCACAAAAAAGCATTGGAAACTCTATGTAGACTATGTGGCAATAAGAATACAAAAAGTAGAAACAAGGCAAAACCTATTCCATGTATAACTTCACAAGAAGATGTATTTTCCATTTTTGGAATAAATCTAGATAAGGATGATCCAAGAATTCATCCATATATGTCTATCATGCTATTCAGCTTTAAAAAAGTTTAAGTACTACAACAGACAAGTTGATTCAACTCTGAAAGAAAACATTCAAAGCACAAACAATAAATGGATATGTTCGAAAGATTGCACAATAGACAATTCCTGGATATGCCAAATCTATAAAATAAACAAAGCACCAATTGGACGCAAACGAAAAGTCTCTGAGATTACAACTGAAGATGAGCTAAGTTTTAATGAAAGTGATCTTAAAAGGAAACAATACCTGTGTAGCACACCTAAAAAACAATGTATTCAACCTGCCGAGACATTGATGGACACTAAGTCACCATCAGAAGGGACGAATTTAACACCAACACCTGTTGTAACTCCCCAAATGAAATTGTCTGCAATTCAATTAATTATGAATGAAACAAATTCAGCAAAACCTCTATCTCGATGGGAAGAAAAACTTTTTACACATCTTGCAAAAATAAAACTAGCGCAGGCAGAAGAAAGGGGAAAGGTGAAATGTCAAAACACAAGAGGACAGGTATTAATTCATTACTTAACCTTCTAAGAACTATCAATTAAATTATCATAATTATGTACACATTTTATATCAACTATCATAGATAGGAATAATATAATGATTAGGTGTTTTCATTCAAGTCCTCTTCAATTATCATACAGCTAGTGTTGAATAGCCACTTAATACCTCATTAAATACACATCATGTCAAATGATCCACAGTATACACACTTATGCACTTGTTTTATAATCCTTTCAGCCCTTGGTGTTAATGAAAATAGAAGTTCCAAGAATTAAAAGTCAAGATGCTAAATCACCTCTGAAAAGGCACAGGGCAAGATTAATAAATAAAGTGAGAAAAAAAGTTAGCGGTGGAACAGATAATTCTACTATTCACCAAATGTCAAAAGAGTGGCGTGTTCAGCACCGTAAAAAGAAAACCCGTGAACTTTTGACAACTCTGGCAAAAACAGAGACCAGAAAACTAGGTGCTAAGCAGGCACTTTCTATGAAGGCAGCGGCAAGACTTACATGGGGTCAAGTTAAAGTTATAACACGCCATCTCAAATCAACAAACGTAAAAATAGCTAGCTATAATAGCCAACAGGAATCAAAAAAGAATATTCTTTCAAAAATCAAGTTAAAATCAAAACTCAAACTCTTTGCCAAAAAAGATTTGACAGCTCCAGAAAGCAGAGGAGGAATTGTAAGGAAAAAACTTCCTATGGCCTATCTTTCAAACTTACATATTCATATATCTGACCATCTTGAAAAAATGGAAAGGTATGGAATGTTAATGTTAGACCACCCTGTGATACCAAATGATGAGGTCTGGATAAAGTTTGGAGGAGACAAGGGGGGTGGGAGTACTAAAGTGACTTTTCAAGTTGTCAACACATCCCATCCAAATGCCACTACAAACACATTGGTATTTGCAAAGTTTTGTGCACCTGATAGCAGGGAAAATTTAGAAGCTGTTCTGAAAAGAATCCTTTCAGCCCTTGGTGTTAATGAAAATAGAAGTTCCAAGAACTATATATATATTTCAGATTTTTTAGTTTTTTGTGCAATAAGCCTGTGCCGTCTTGTAATTTGAAGAATTTCAGCCATGTTAATCTTATTGAAAATAACATGGCAGAGAAGCATCCAAAGCAATCCAAGATATACAAATGTCATTCGTGTACATTATGAATATACTTTTCCATATATTATTGCACAATGGTCTCCCAATTTCTTATTTTTGCCGTTCTACTGACGAAATGAAGCAGTGAAATGGACTCTACAAATTGATATTCTCATGGGTTTAGGCAAATCAGAATGCTTGAACAGCCAATTAAAACGGTTGAACAGCTAATTAAAACAGTTGAACAGCTAATTAAAACGGTTGAACAGCTAATTAAAACGGTTGAACAGCTAATTAAAATGCTTGACCAGAAATAGGGTTCATATTCCTAGTTTCTGTTATATTTATTTTCATATTGTGTTATACTATTTTTTTTTTATTCTCTATTTCATGCAGAGGGGGGGGGGGGGTAAAAATTTGAAAAGTGTTTTCAGATTTTTGAGGGATTATTTCTTTATTCAATTACTTTAATAAGTGCTGGGAAATCTCAAATAGCAAGTATATGAAACTGCAAATACTATTTTCAGAATTTTTTATTTCATTTTTATTTAGTTTTTTTTACCATGGCATTCAATAAATTGAATGTTCATGGCTTTACTGTATTCACTAGGGCATAGTATTTGTACTGAAACTTGTTTTCAGTTTAAATAATATGTGTCAATGATTAAAAAAAACAAAAAAACAGGGCTTATTTTTCAAAACTCTCAACTTGAAAAAATCTGGAGGAAAATATGGGAAATTTTCTTTGGCAAATTATTTATCATGTTCTGTGTATGGAATAATTAAAGTACATAGGATGCTTCCTTTATAGCAGACTCTAATCAAACTGAGAGTCTCTCTATTATAAGGTTTGTTTTGCCTTGCCGAATTATTTTTGTTTTGTTTATGGATTAATGGATTAATAAAGTTTCTTTAGACACATCCTTTAAAGCAGACTCTAATCAAACTAAAGAGACTGAGTCTTTCTGTAATCAGAAGTTATGCTTATTGACTTAATTATTTAAAACACATCCTGTAATGTCTGATTGCATTTTCTCTATCAAATCAAAAATATCAAATCAATAAACAGATTATTTTCTGATTGAAGGATTTCTTCCAGACAGATCTTCCCTCCTTTATAATTGTGATAATTACTCAGGTGAAGGTAAAATTCAAGACTTGACCCAATCAAAATTATTTCAAATGTTTTTGCAATAACTTAAAAAGTAGTGAAGGGATTTTATAAAAATGATTGTCATGACAGCGGGGGGATTTGCTATGCCTTAGCATTGCTGTTATCTAGATAATATACATGTGAGTGGGACAATCACCATCCTTCAAGGTTAGATGGAAATTGATTCAATATATTTTCATTCACAAGACAAGTTAACTAAACTATTTCAATACTTTAAATATCTTTTTGATCAAAAATTTTTTAATTCTGACATGTATGCATGAAAAACATACATTTGAAATATATGTTGTATTGAGATGATATTGCCATAGGTTTAAAGGGTGGCATTCGATTGAAACGGTTGCAAGAAATTCAATCAAAATTGTCAAGCGTTTACAATGGTTACATATGATTGAAACATTTTCAATGAGTTTACAACCAAAATTGTAATGGTTGCATTGTAACGGTTGGCATGGTTGCATAAATGATCGGATCAATGATTGTACAATGATTGTGCAACGGTTTAAATTCGGACTTTCAAGGTTGAATTTTTTATAAGGGTCTAGACAAGATACAGAATATTGTTAGCGAACATAAGATTCCTTTGAAATTGATGGTAAACATCAATGAAACAGGAGTTAATATCGTACCTGCATCTTATTGGACAATGGCAAAAAAGGCACCGAACCAGTTGAACTGTGTGAGCTTAATGATAAGCGTCAAATCACAGTGACCTTAATGATTAATGCAGAAGGAGTACTTTGCCCAGTCTAAGAGATCTACCAAGGAAAAATGGGAGCCTGTCACCCATCTTACAAGTTTCTGAAAGAATTGCTCATTACCCAGTTCCGTGACGCACTGGAAGAATTCTAAAACATTCTTAGGCATATCGTTGTGCCCTATGTGGACAGGATCTGCCACAGTGAAGATGAAGATCTCCCTCTTCGACAAGCAGCACTATTGCTCATTGATGTTCATAAATCACATTGGTCTGAAGACATCAAGGCTGAATTATTACGTCATAACATCATCCCGTTCCCATTCCTGCCTGCTGCACTGGTGAATTACAGTTGTTATATGCGACGCCAAGTAAGTTCCTCTATCAACACCTTGCTGACTTTTCAATAAACACAGGAAAAACAAAACAGTAAGATACAGTACTCGATTGTTATTTGCAAACTAAATTGTTACTTTGAAATATCAAACAATGGATTTTTAAATAGGAATGGTACTTGGAATGCGTGGTTAAGGAACTGTCTGAGGGGAAATGAGTGAATGAAATCAACATTGATCTGCGGCTCTCTAATCTTAAAAATTGTCATGCCAAATGGTTGGTACGATCTAACACTGTACTTAGTGACCAGAAAGAAAGCATCCAGAGGGATTGGAGTACTACGGGAATTGCAAAAGTTATTGAGTAGACTACTGATGGACTTAATGACTATAAATCTATAGAATTGTGTTTATTTATTAGTTTCAGTAAATGTTTGTTTTATCAAGTTTTGGTCAAGTTTGTATTTTCCAGACTGATGATGGTGTAATCGTTCATAAATTTAATGTAAATCTAATATGGCGAAAACTTATTTTAAAATTTTACTTAAAGCCACTTATCGTTACATATTTTATAAATATGAATGGTATAAGAACACATCAATATGACTAAGGGTATCATGGTAAGGAAGTTTTTCATAATCTGTCTATTTTATTAAAAAACAGCTCAAATCACGATCAGAGAATTTGTTTTTGTCTTCATACTTTGTGGCCTGTGAAGGTCTAGATGGTATTATCACGGAATTAAATATAACGATCGATGTAAGACACTATTTTTCGCGTTATCATAACTGCTTCTATAGTAACTAAGTAATAATTAAAATGTGTCAAAATAGGCATCAACTTAACTGTAGATAGAAAATTAAGATATTCTAAGCTAAGAGCAGCGGTAGATTATTTTTGAAGATGGTGTGACCAGTGCTGAGTTGTTGCAAGCAGTTAGACATTGCAATGTTAAAGTGTTAAAGTATGAAATTGTAGGATATTCTCAAAATGTTTTTTGAGAAAACACAAAGGGAAAATTGATTAACTTTATCTTTATATTTTGTATCTTCTAAACTAAGTCTACTGATAATACTCTGTAGAAAGTCCCATGTCATTGTGAAAGCAGATGTGATAATACAGATACCGTATTTGCCGTATTTGCCGTAATTGGCACCCATGTTCCTATTAGCGCCCTCCCAGACTTTTGGAGGCCCGAGGGTGAGTCCCTGGTTGAAGAATCAACGATCATTGTGGTCAAACGTAAGAAGTCAAGTGGGCGATAATAGGGTACTTACTGGTTTTGTTGCTTTTTGCAGTTTTCGAAGAGGTATTCTAGCTTGGATATGTCGTTCTTTTCACCATAAAATGTATACAATGTTGGGAATTCAAATCCTTTCCCATTATTTTGATGCCTACCAGTGATTTTTCCTGTAATCTTGACACCCCGTTTCAGGAAGAACTTGAAAACTTTTGCATATTCTCTCGCACAATATTCTTATTTTCAAGCACAAAAGTTGCATTTTTATCGAAAGCATTATCCTTATCTATTTTACAATACACATCACTATTGATTGAGATATTACACTGCCCAATATACTCGTGATATCCTCAAATTGTTGATGAAAATGTGTACGAACACTATATGAAATAGAGAATATTGCTTTGTTATAAGCAATGTCTATTTGTAAGAATCTCTTGTAATGTGCAGTAATCAGCAAAAATACTCAGCACATATAAACAGAGACAGTACAGAGACAATACTCGCTGCATATATGGAACACTCTGTATATTCAAGTATTGCTCCTCTTTATTTCTAGAACAGCACAAATAAGCACTGATTATACGTGGAGTTAAGAATACTCAAATATATGCAAACGCAATACTCTGTAAGTGCGCAATATAGTCACACATTATAATTGCCTCTTTCTGACTATATTAAGCTACCGTGTATTTCTAAGTTGCTCTGCTCATTTTATAACTGAGCATACAAATAAATAACGGACTATTTGTGCGTATTTTTCTATTAAGCATGATAAAACAACACAACTAAAGAATGTAAGTACCGTAGTTCTTTATGAATATGACTTTACCTGTGTATAATAAGCGACTACAGGATGGATTTCGAAATAATCTATTTTTACTA